CAAGGTAATATATTGCTCCAATCCTCTGGAACACTTCCTGAAAGAAAATAATCTTGAAAGATTAAAAAACAGAGGTTCACTTGTTTCTACACTTAGTTCCTTAATTACTCGTGGATGAATACCGTCAGGCCCTGGAGTTTTGTTTATATTAACTTTCTTTAGTTGCTGCAGCACCTTGTCTTGAGTTAACCAATTACAATTTTTCTGCAAGTTTTTAGCAGCAATCATTTGCACATCTAATGCCATGGGTTCTTCCTTAATATATACGTAGGACAAATAGTTATTTAAAATTCCTGCCTTTTCCTGGTCTTTATTAACTAACACCCCCATTCCAGTTTTTAGTGTACCTACACCTTAATTTTTTAGATTTTTTTTAGAATTTATGTACTTAAAGAATGCTTTGGGGTTGGTTTTGCTCTCTTTTCATTTTTTCATTTTGAAGTTTAGCGAATCTAATCGCCTTTTTGCGGACATTATTGGCTTCCTTATATCTTTTATAGGATGCATCCGATTTAAATGCTTTAAATGCCCTTGTGATGTACTACAGAAACAGTAATGCCTGCAGTCTCCATGGGTTCCCATCTACAAAGATGTGGGCTACATGTAACCTTGAACTTCCTCAGCAGGAAGGCTGACCTTCCCAGGGTGAAGACTACATCAATAGTCCGGTGGCCAAAAAAATGAAAATTCCAACAGAACAAACTGTCTGTCCCTTGGCTAAGAGGAAAGGAAAAAAAGACTGAGGAACTGGGGCTGCCTCAGATCCTTATATACCTGCCCATTTAATTGTTTTTATTACGTTTTTTCCTGTCCTATTGGCTAGAGGGAGTAGCTAACCCATTAGTTAAATACTGCCATGATTAGCCAGGAAACATAATATTAAAGAAAATATGGCAAGCGACAGTTTCCCTTTAATTAATTTTGAAAATCTGTTATCATTTATTTATATCACTCTGAAAGATACCAGAAAAGAAAGTGTTTTTGCCTTAATAAATCTCCCACTATGTTTGCAATCGTATAGTTCTGAATGCAAATCTTGGAGCAACAACCCAAACGCAGGTATTTCTCAGGGGTATTTCTGAAGAGCCAGATGCGGGGATTTATCAAGACTATTTCTGCAAACGACTTTGTAATAGAAAAAAAAATCCTAGCCTAGTTTATAATTTACTCTTTAGTGTTGACTGCATAATTTTGTACTTAATTAATTAAAAATAGTAGGGAAATCCATTAGTGTCTAAGATGGTTCCCTGTCTAGTTTTTGAGCCACATTTACTTCCTTTTTTAAGATGACCTAAATATATTGTATCTTTTGTTACGTTATAAAAGATGCATCTTGCAGGGTAACATAGATTTTAATAGAGCCCTATAGCATGCATTTATTTAGAGGAAATAAAAGCGAGACGCTGTCACCCTCTCCACAGTAAGATCTACCCTTCACAATACAACCACTGCACATTGAAGCTTGAGTGATCAGGTACCATTGCTTAAATTGAGGAGGTGTTTGTAATCAGACCCCAGGTTGTACTGGTGATGAATCTTTCTCTGCCCACAAAAAAGGGCTGTAGCTACTGGTGACGCCACTGACCTTATTACAGAGAGTATTTTAGTTTCTTTCTGTCTCTAAAGGTTCTGTGTGATAAAGAAGCAACTATTGCACAGACTCACTGCCATTGTCTATCAGGTTAGTAATTTCTTTAAATTCTGTTTGTGGCTCTATTTAAAAAGCTAATCAGGTTTATTTGTTAGAACAGTGTACTCTAAACAGGGTTTTAGAACAATTTAATACTGGAAAAATAAACGTATGCATATAGAAAAAATAAAAAAACACACAGATTGATGGATAAACACTACAAACAAAGATACGATGAAATAAAAAAAAAATCAAATAGGTTGATAATATATGTGTGTATATGTCTATTTTGCCTTTATTTTCCAAGGATCACTGTTTTTCTAATCGTGTTTTGGCGGATTGCATAAAGTGTTGTGGAATGTAATAAGTACCATAGAAAATATTATAATGAATATTATTTTATTCATAAAGTACTTGTATATTGCACAGTATTGTGAAATTATTTGCAAATGTCAATGTTAAACAAACTTCTCAGTGAAGAATATATTGAAAATACTGCAAATGAATGTCTAGACCCATAAGCTTACAATCGATGTGTAGGCCGTCAACTGTTTTGGTTTGAAACGGTTGCACAGTGCATTTCATATTGTTAATGATAATGTAAAAGTGTAGTTTCTGGGCATGTCAAGGGAGCTCACAATTGAAAAATAATCCTTAGGGCAGATTATTGCTGGCCTCATATGAACTGTAGTGTACATCAGATGGAGTACCAGAGGCAAGTCGCTTGTGGTATTGTGGGGACTTGGTTCCAGGAGTTGCATGGTTGGACAATGATACAAAGCTTCGGGGAGGCACAGAAACTAATTATGTTGTTTAGACTCATATACTATCTATGCTTTCATGGGCACATCATGTCACTGTATATATATTTGCAATAATTCTAATGAATTAATATTTACTTACAAAATATTTCACAATTTTTATAAAGTTCTAAAACTAGAGGCTGATGTGCTTTTTTTCAACAGCAACAGTTTCTTTGTTTAAAGGGACACTTTAGGCACCCAGACCACTTCAGCTCATTGAAGTGGTCTGGGTACAATGTCCGATGTCCCTTAACCCTGCAGCGGTAATTATTGCAGTTTCTGAGAAA